CACTGGCTGTATACTGGAAAAACTTACAATAGAGTTCGGATCAGTCATGTGAATTTATCATACAAGACAGAATAAAATAGATACTGAAATGAAAGGCATAAGCAAAGTACTACAGGAGAACAGATACAGAAACTATTCATTTCACTTTGTATTGATTTGGCTATCTCAAGTGTATATTTCATTAGATAACTCAAATCCTGTCAATAAAATTTAGAAGCAGCATTTGCTGATCTACTGCCATACTAGAAATGAAGAGATTACAATCTTTTATTTAAAAGAGGCAATAAAATAAACCAGATGTTCTCAGTGTGTAACCCACTTCCTCATTAAGTAACTGAAAGCGTGCTTAATTGGATCTTAGCTTTTGAAGCTGCTTACTCTTAATTTGTTACTACATAAAGGCAGATTCAATATTATTAGAAAAAAACAATTAACCTCCCTGGCGGTCTGATTATGTCAGTAATTTTGTACCCAAAGCGGTACATTGTTTTGCATGGAAATTTGTTGTTTTATATTGTAGGCCTGTAATTCTTAGGAATTACTCACTTAAATCTGTCCAAACAAGAGTCTAGTAGGCATCCCAGGTATGATAAAGTTTGAAAAAGTGTGGCTCGGGGTTACCGCTTCTGGCAGTGAAAATTAACCCCAAGCCACACTCGGGATTACCGCCAGGGTGGTTAACAAATGTACGTAATATTCTTTTTTATATTTTAATTTTCAAGATTGTTTCCTTAAGGAAATAAAGCCTTATGTCTTTGTTTTAATTAGATATGTTAACTCATGATAATATTGATTGAGCTAGGCTTTTTTGAGTGGAATCCCCATGTTTGTGAATGTACAAAAAACAATTTTATTTATTAATGTTTTCAGTCAAAATAGGTACTCTTAAATAATTAACTTTAGGAACCAAACAGAAAAGAGAAACTGATACATGTGAGCATTATTCCATTAACTTTAGGAATTGATGTGCAAAAAACCCAAAAACAAAATGCGATACATTGGACATTAGCCAGTTAAGTTTTTAGCATACTGAGTAGGTAGTCACTTTTTCTCATCAGTGTCTGCACATTTTGTGGAAAAGCCTCAAACAGTAGTACTTACTCATTACCGTGCATACATAGGGACCATTCTTGGGTTGGGGACTTTTTTTGGTATAGCTTACACAAATACTTTTTATTGAGACTTTTGAATATACTCATTTCATACCCAGGGAGTCATTTTTATGTGAAGTTTCAAAAGGACCCATTTCTCTAATGACTATCTCTTCCTTAATGTATATTGTGAAGTGTTCCGATTAGAGTTAGGTTTTTGCTGTTTCCTCTTCTAATACAAGAAATATGCCATCAGATATTATGCAGATTTTAGAAAAAGTAGATCTATTAGAAAGTAGAATTGGCATAAAATTAGTGTTTGATTTCCTAATCTGTCCCTTGTAGACTAATCTCACCCTGGGTATTTTTCAGCTATTGGATGTCTAAAACATTTCAGTTAACACAAATGTTATTCATGAATTAGACTCTCAAGGTATCCTATTGGTTTTAGAGTGTTTTTAGCCCATTCATTGAAAACTTGCCTTCTTTCTCTTTATTGTGAGCTAAGTGTATTTTGCTTCCTGAAGGGTTGACAAGTAGGTTTTTAGGACGTATGTCCTTGCTCTAAAGTATAGGCAAAGTCTTCACAACTATTACTTTTCTAGAAAGTTGTTACATAATTTTGCAGCAAAAGTTCTTTATTGGCTTGGCACCCAAAGAAAAATACTAAAAATTCTCATTAAGGCACAGTGTCTACAGAAGCTTTAGCATGCAATTGAAATTTATAATTAACACAACCTGAGTCACAAACTTGTGCTCTTATTTCAGCCACTGCTGTGTGGGCTTAGAGCCAGGAGAAGATGCAGAGGAATTTTACAATGAATTACTTCCATCAGCTGCAGAAAGTTTTCTGATTTTGGGGAGGCAATTGCAAACGTGTTTCATCAATGAAGCTAAGGTATATGTGTTTATTTGGTATCTTGTGTTTTGTAGCCAAAACAGTTTAATTCTTGAGAAGATGTTCCACATTATTTTTCAAATTGCAAAATTTGGCTGAAAGTACAATCAGAGTAGTCAACTCAAAGTTATTTAAAGTCACAACTGAAAAAAATCTTAACATTTAAAAATTTTAAAGTACTTGCTGAACCATATTGTATGACTTTTTGAAGGGTCTGCCTTACCACTCAACTTTGAGCAGCACTTATGGACATTTATTTTTATAATGTCTTCCTGAAACATACCTTCTATCTAAATTAATGTTAGAGGAAAGTATAGTTCTCTAGGCCCAAGGCTTTTCTCAATAAATCTAATGGTGAAGAATAAAGGTGAACTTTCTATTTAATCTTTCAACTCTTCTCTAGTCAAATTATTTCAATCCAAACATAGGGTCATTTGAATCCAACAAGTATTTCTTGGGTGAATTGGCCTAGATGCTATATGGACTCTTTTTTTCCCCCTGACCCATGGAATTAAGAATTTAAAACTAAGAATTCTAATTAATTTAGAATATGCTGCTTAATTTCCAAAAATTTGAGAATTTTATTGATGTTTATTGTTATACATTTCTAATTCTGTTGTGGTGAGATAACATACTCTGTATCATTTCAATCCTTTAAAATCCTTTTCAGACTTGTTTATGGCCCTCCATATGTTTTATCTTGGTGGATGTTCTGTCACAAGCAGTCCTTGCTTTGCACAGTGCTATCTTAACTGAAACTCATATATATATATCAACTATGTAAAGGTTTTGATATGCACAAGTTTTATTTAACATGGTACCATGCAAAAGCAAGGACTCCCTATATACTTGAATGTAAACTCTGCAGTTGTGTATAATGTTCTGTAATGTCAATTAGATCAATTTGGCTATAGGGTACATAAAGAATGATAGGTCTGTAATGCTGAAACTCCTTGGCTATATGTAGCCTACTGCTACATCAGAGATTGAGCTGATTCACGACTCTTGTGAACTATGAAGAGAAATAACTCACCATGGAATATTAAGTATTATTTGAGATGCTTTGAGTATATAAGGAATAGACATAATCTTGCACTTGAAAAACTCCCATGCTAGTGAAGTAGACAAGATCTTTAGATATTTCTTGTAGAAAGACAGATGCATTTTTAATTAAAAAAAAAGATATAATAAATATGAGTGAAATTGAATGACAACATAGTGGTTTGAGTATAAGAAGTGTTGTTGGCTGAGAATTTAACTTAGTTGTAGAGTGTATGCTTTCTATGCAATAGGTCACAAATTCCACTTGTAGAATCTTCTCTGACATTTTGAGGGATGCTAGCAATAAGTCAATATTTGCATTTTGCTAGATTTAATTTAATTCAGGTTAATTAAAGTGGCATGAACTATGGACATTTTGTTGGATTTGATTTCTTCTTCTGGCTGTGCCACAGACTAGCTCTGGGTTCTTAGGAAAATCACTTGATTTCCTGTACCTGTTTCTCCTTTGTAAAATGATTTCTATCTCATGAATAGCTCAGACCATTATGAAAGCTTTATGTTTTTTTCAGAGCACTTTTATTTAATATTCCCCCTTTAAGGGCAATGATAATTAGTATCTTTTCATTTGTATAGTCCTTTAATACTTTTCATTATAATATTCACATTCTTCATTATGGTATTTGTATAGATATAAAAAGTTCTTCGTACTTATCAGCAAGGGCCTTTCAGATGTTAATTAAAAACAAACCAACCTATAAAATAACTAGAGTTCAAACTGAAGCATCAATGTGATGGATGATGTTTTGCTGGAAATAAATTGCTGATGTTGGGTTTAATAAATCTACTATTTGCATGTATAATGCTAAAAAAAAAAGCCTTACAAATGTTGAGATACTTAGCTTTTAACGCATTCTATAAGCACATCTATTGATTTTAGAATAATTGTCTACAATGGTACTACTTTTAATGCTGAGAAGAGGATGAGGTATCTAAAACTTATTTTAATACAAAATATTAGATTTTTAAAAATAAAAAAACATGATAATGTATGAAATAAAAATATTCTTTAGTACATACATCAGAGGGAGTAAATCAGCTACAGAAAAGGAGAGGCACTTGACCACAGGGCAAAACTAAAATGGGGATAAAAAGGAGATGACAAGAAAACTGAATTTATTTATTAGTTCTATCTACCTAGGTGTTTCCAAATCAAATATTTTTTAATTAGGTAGCATGTAGGTAGTAGATCACATGATGGGACATGTACTGGACGTTCTGGCCTGAACTGCAAATTGGTTAAAGTATACACAACTATATACATGTATGTATGCACACATACATATGTATATACACATATGTATATACAAAGGATGCAAAAAAAATGTATACACATTTTAAGAAACTGTATTAAAATTGTAATAATATGTACCAATAAAAAAAGATGACTGCAAGTCACATTTGACTTTTGCAATTACAAGAGGTGCTCAAAGTGGTTACCATCAGTGTCCATACACTTCTGATTACGGTGAACTACTGCTTGAGCAACGCTGACCAAAGTGTCCACTTGTATACATTTTTTGGCACCCTGATATATATTTTTATATATAAGAATAGAAAAACTCTTATGCAAGAATTTTGAAGTGATTTAAGGGTAAATTTTGTTAACCAGTCTCAGAAGCCATATGTCACTCAGAAGTGACATTATTGAATGGGGTTTTTAAGGAAAATAGGAAGTCTAGGAGTCCAGCACTATCCTTTGAGACTGACAACAGTGTGGATTACCTGCTTGTGTTTTGGTGAAACTACTAGCAAAGGCAGTTTATTGGACTAAAGGAATTCTTGATCTAATGTGACATATGTTTCCTTTTTTTATCTTACATTTAAGTTGGCACATGTCCATTTAAGCACCTATTCTAACTCTGTGCTAGAAGAATAGGACGAAAATACTTTCATTATTACAAAGAATAATCATAGCAATTATAATGTTTTTGCTGTTGTCATCACTTTTGTGCTGCAGTACAAAATCTTTTTCAGGACAAGAAAAAGATTAGTGGCCTTTATACAACTTTCCACTAAAGTTACATGGCCAGTAAATAACAGAATTGTGAAAGGAATCTGTTTCTTATTTCCCACTGTGACACATACTCTAATCTAGAATAATTTCTCACCCTCCCTTCCAGAAAGAAAGAAAAAGGGAAAACTGTCATTCATTTATTGAATAAATGTTGATTGAACATTTACTATGTGTCAGACTGTTTTAGACAGTGTATAGTGGAGAGCTAAATAACTTGGTCTCTGCCCTCATGCAGTCAGAGTAGAAAACACAACTGAAATGCACTAATAATAATGCTATACATGTTGACATCTATATTTGCATATTGCAGTGATTTTCAACCTTGGCTGCATAGCCAAATCACTCACCTAACTTTGTAAAAATACAGATGTCCAGACTTTTAACTTTGGAGATTCAGATTCAGTATGTTTGTACCAAAGTCTGTGCAAGGGTATATTAAAATAAATAAAGCTTCATAGGTGATTCTCATGTATAGCCAGTGTTGAGAAATTCTAGCATAACCACTTGTAGTTCTTATACTACTTATATTGTCTCATTTGACCTCTGGATAACAACCGTTTGTAGTAAGTAGAGTAGGTATTACTAGCCATTAACCACAAATTTTGTAAATTAAGAAACTAAAGGCTTCAAGGTCACATACCTCATAAATATCTAAGTTAGATCCTGAAACCAGGTCCTCCAACTCCTCAGAGAGATTGCTCTCTTTTTTTTTTTTCATAAAGCAATTACAGAACAGTAAATTGTTTTTTTGTTTGTGTGTGTGTGTGTATATGTGTTTGTGTGTTAAGGGTGAAGAAAAAGATAAATTACTACACTTTTTCCAAATTGTGACAGATTCTCTCTTCTGGCTATTGGGAGGCCATGTTCAACTTATCCAACATGGTAAGAGAAAAGAGTTTTATGTAACTGATAATCATTGTAAAGTCACCTGCTAACAGTTTGATCTTTTTTTTTTTCTAAAAATAAACACCTCACTAGCTATGTACGTAACTATAATAACATGAAACCATAATGAAGTAACTCCACACACAAGAAAATAAATGCCCATTTGGACATTCCAGCTTTAAATAGCTAACATTAATAATATGAATATTAAGGGGAAAATTGCTAAAATATAACTTTCTCCTTAGTTTTGTCTATTTAGCAAATTTAAGATAAGTTTTGTGGTAACCAGAGGGTAAAAGTGGTGGGGGAAATGGTAGAAGAGGGTAAAGGGGGTCAAATATATGGTGATGGAAGAATTGACTTTGAGTGGTGAACACACAGTGCAATATATAAATGATGTATTATAGAACTGTACACTTGAAACCTATATAATTTTACTAACCAATGATAAATTTAATCAATAAATTTAAATTTAACCAATAAATTTAATAAAAATTGAAAAAAGAATTAATGATGTTAATAATTTAATTGTCTAGCAAATAAAGTTTTTTTTAAGTTTCAAAGATCACAGTTGTATTTTAGACTTAGTGTGAGAGAAATCCCTATGTACAGAGTAGATATAATTTAATTCAGATTATTCATGTAAGAGTAAGCATTTCTATAATGAAATTTTACTGAATTTGAAAGTTATTTTAAAGGATATGTCTACACTTACACATACATATATGTTAGTGTTATATTATGTTTTCTTAAGACTGAGAAGGTAATCCTTAATGATAATCATGGTAGCATTTCTATTCTCTTGAAAGATTTAATCTAGAATAAATATAACTATTTAAGAATATATATGTATATATATATATATGAACATTAATTTATTTTAGAAAGTAAAAATTGAACTGAATTTTTATTTTTAATTTAAATTTTTCTCAGAATTAGGCATGCACATAATTTTAGAGTCAAATAGTTCTATAGGGATTATTAAACAAAAAACACAATCCCTGGTCCTCACACTTCACTACATTTCTCATTTCCCAGAGGCAACTACTTCCAGTTAGTATAACTAATACTTTTGGTAGCTATATCTCTATAGAGCTAAGTAACATGTTTAGATACTTTTCTTTTAAAAAAAAACAAAAACAAAAAATATTCAAAACATTATTATTTCCCATTATGAACAAATATTATTATAAAGTCCTCAATTTAAAAAGCTATTTTACAAAAAATAGGAAGTACTTATTCTCACTATAG